ACTTCAAACTACCACCACCTCACTCTATGCCATATTCGATTATTTCCACAGTACTTTTCTTACCTTTTTTCCTACCTTTGTGTTTGTCTCTTACATCTTTGAAACACTCTCCTGTCCCCCCCCCTCTCGACTTTTTTTCAATTTGATGTTCCTCTCCCTCTGTAAAGCCTGAAGTCAACTAAAGGGCTAATGATAACCATCAAGACGCCTGCCATTTGGTATAAATAAATAAAATAAATAGTTTGTGATTGTGTTTTTCAAATCATTAAACAAAATTGTTGCTGATTTACAAGTTGATAAAAAAAATGAAGAAAAGGTGGTTAAGATTTGCGTTATAAAAGTCAGAAGTCATTGATTTAATTCCCGTTGAATAGGTTCGCCTTATTGATAATTGACGTTGATCAAAGAGGAGTTTCTCATCAATTGGCTCTGCTATGCCACTCATCTTTCCAAAATGAGACCTTCGAAGTGTATTTAGAGATGATTTTGGAGGAATTGGCTTAACATATAGCTATTGTTGTTCTTTAAATATTAGGAACATTGCACCCGCAAGTATTCGATCTTTATTCATCAGATTGGATAAAGCAGTGTTACCGAAATAAATGAATGAGACCATTATAAATCGAGGCTCTGAATAAGAGAGAAGTTTTTCTTAATTTCTCACTGTAGTGGCTTCCCCTCCTCGTGGGTCGTCATCAAGTTGCACTCTTCCCTCTTTAACGCGTTTAATCCAACCATAAATGACAGCCCTGTAGTGCTACCTTAGTCTCGAACATGTAGCGGATTGCTACCTTCGTAAAGCCTGACCTGGTTAAAGACTTGTAGCGGATTGCTACCTTAGTAAAGCCAGACCGGTTGAGAATTGTAACGGATTGCTACCTTAGTAAAGCCTGACCGGATTGCATTGTAGCGGATTGCTACGCTAGTAAAGCCTGACCGAAAGAAATCTCTATGGCAGATTCTCCAACATCTACCTAGACTACCAGAACAAGCTAAGCAATAGCCCAGCTATAAGGGAAACAGACGTGTAGCACGGAATACGAAGTGTTATGTTGGGAAAGCGATTAGTTATCAGATAACTCTGGCATAATTCGTTTGAACTTTAATAGCTAAATATTTCTGAGTAGTATTCTATAGCAGGATTTCTATTTGGTCATTGATGAAGTGTCCCATAATTTGTGTGTTATTAGAAAAAACTGTGAAGATATATTTGGACCTGTAAAATCTTGTAGATCTTTGTTCTATTTAAAGTTAGTGTATTTGTCAGTGAACTTTTTGACTCATCCTCATATTTCAGAGAGGGACAAATTTCCTACTTCATTGGCAATCTCCTCAATGGTAACTAGTTGACCAAGTTCCACTAGGTTCTCCACAAAAGAGTTGTTTACCTCCTGTTGTGGGTCCCACCCCCAACCCCCCGCGCCTCATGGGTCGCCATCAAATTGCACCCCCTCCCCTTTAATATGCTTAATTCAATTACAAATGACTACCCTACATGGTACAGAATTCCCATAAACCTGTTGTAAATCTTCCTTGATCAAAAAATGTTTCCAGCTTAATTTTGGCATTAATTTTTGTTATCTCTGATCTCAAATTTTATTATATCAAATGGCAGGCGGTTTGATAGTTAACATTTGCACTTTAGTTGACTTCAGGTTTCACAGAGGGGAAGGAACATCAAAGTGAAAAAGTTGAGGAGGGGAGGGGGGAATAGAAGAGTGTTTCAAAGACGATGGTAGAAAAAAGGTGAGATGAGTACTGTGTAAGTAGTCAAATATGACATACAGTGGGATGATGGTAGTTTGAAGTCATAGGTCAACTGCCGGTTAATTGACTTTTTTGCCGTATGAGTATACGTTGTCCAGGGAGCACCACGTGGAGGTAAGTCTATTGCACACCCCCTGATCTCAAAATTTGACATTGAAGTGTTGAAAATTGATAGCTACTCTGAGACACAACCTGTCCTGATTCAGACCTTACATAGAATGATAGGACAGTCGTATGTTAAAAGGAAAGCTGTAAAGACATGTTTGTACTTAAAAAATTACAAATATTGGCTCTATTTAACGTTATGGCACTTGTCTGAGATCTTTTTGACTCACTCTTGTAACCTTGAATCATTAAATGTACTTTTCTATCTCAAGCATAAATTTCATTCAGCAAATTTTACAGGAGGTAATGCTAATAAGCCCAATTTCTGCTGCAAACATCTATGCATCCATCTATGTCTTTAGGCTAATTTAACTAAAATATTTGAGTGACAAATTAGAAGTACATCCACTTCGGTGAAATTTTATTAATTTGGTTGGTTATTCACTAAGATATACTATCCTTTATCGCGCTAGAAATAAGCCTGGCCATAGTCGAATAATCTGTCAATTATGGAAGGAATTTGGCCATTGGCTGAATGAGGAACCTCTGGGTGGATGCTTATACCAATGGACAAAGTAGCTAAGCCCACTTACTTCTTGCACCCTTATTTTCGCCATGCCTTCCATTTTCATGCCACCTTTGGTTTCTAGACTTTAAGCCACTTCACACTTTACTATACAATAGTTTATAAGTCTCTAAGTGCACGCTGGTATTGCCGGCAAGCAAGTAATCGTGCCAGGTGCTATGGATGCACTTGACTGCGCAAAGGGTTCATCAGGCCACATTCACTCCTGAATCCATGGAATTAGTGAAATAATGGTACTTTAAACTGTATGACTTAAGCAGAGAACTCACTAACACATAGTTATCAAGAAAATTAATGAAATGTGTTTGGGTGGTAGAGAGAATAATGGCATTGAAGTGAATGACGGAACTCATTTTTTAGAATTCAATCACCATCCTCTTTGTTCTAATAATTGCCTCTCTTCATTCGTTGGGCTTATATTTGAACGAATCCGAATGTTGTGGTCTCTATTGAGAAAAGTATTGGGATTGCTGTGTCTTCCTTCCTATGCCATGACATTGACTGCTAAGCTATTCAACGTAAAGATGTACTTCTTGTAATATACTGATAAGTGTTTCCTAAAGCTGGTACTTAACCCTTTCATAGAGGTGTAAATATTGGAGGATTGTATTCGCGAAGGACGACATTTTGCGTATTTTATGATAATCTCTTCTGGATTCGTAATGGAAATGCAGTAATAAAAATTTTAGAGAACGTTTAGTGCACTCTTTAATGAATATCAAGAAGTTATTTGTTCTGGACTTCTGCCTTTTTTCATGGAGAAACGGTAAATAAGTCAGTGCCACCAAATTGAGAATCTCGCCAACTAGAATTTTCGCAGATCACTTGAATTGGTTCGATTTAACTCAAATTTTTAAGGGGATTGGCCCAAATCTGGTCTCTTTGAGTTCTTAGATAATCCAACGGCACGTGGTCCCAAATATTTTACACACTATATCAGATTGTAATCTCCTGCTTAACACTTTCCAAATATTAGAAATGAGGCCTTGTTTGTATTTATCAAAACCTTTTATTTCCTTCGTACGAACAACCATTGAAACTGGCGGATGTTTTCTTGTGCAGAGAAAGAGGCTATTGGACTGAGACGATTGTGACAACCGATTGTCAACCGATGACCACACCCTTAGCAAATTTTAACATTATTTTTAAATTTTCACTATGACAAAATCAATATGTGCTTCTTGGAGCATTTATAGCATTACTTTAAAATATTTTGACATGGAGCGGAAAAATTTGTCACACCTTTTTTGGGCATTGGAATCAACTTTATACGATTATTTATTTCAAATGGCGGGCTTTATGATATTTATCATTAGCCCTTAAACTTTGACTTCAGCTTCCCCCATGAGTGGGGGGGGGTACATATATAACAGTTCATCAGCTGTCTTCTTGCTTCCCAGTGTCTCTGGCTTTCCGTCCTTGTCTTTAGGGCTGGACACCGAATCAGGTGGGTCTTATCCATTTCCTCCTGTAGGTTACATAGAGGGCATGTGGGTTGAGTGTATACTCCCAATCTGTGAAGGTGTTTCGCCAAGCAATCGTGTCCGGTACGTAGTCTGAACTCAGCAACGGCTTCGATTCTTGGCCAGTCGGGTATGTCGGAGATTGACACTGTCCATTGTTTCTCCTTTGTTCGAGCTTTGAGTTCGTTGAACCTTGAGGTCTGGAATTCTCTCCTGATTAAGGCCTTCATTGTGTGGAAAGACACCAGCCGGTCCATGCATTGTAAAATCGTTGTCCCCTTCTCAGCAAGTGTGTCAGCAAGCTCATTGCCTTTAATGCCACAGTGACCAGGAATCCATTGTAGGACCACTGTTTTGTTTTCTCTCTCAGCAGCTCATAGAGTTTTCTACATTCCTTTATCTCAGCTGTTTTGGGTGTCTCTCTGTTTCCAATAGAGTCTATTGCTGACTGTGAGTCCGAAAGTATCACCGCTTTGGTGAATTTCGTATCCAGGCAACATAATTGGCATAGTGCTATCCTAATGGCCTCTATTTCTCCTTCAAAAGCGGATCTATTATGTCCCGCTGCTGCGTAGAAAGAGAAGAGTTCAGAATAGACACCTGCACCAACGTTTGCTTGGCTTTCTATGTATGACCTATCAATGAAGACTTGGAGCTATTGATCTGCAGGATAGTTGACATTGATTGTCTCAAGGGCCAGTGAGCGCATTTGCTCTGGAGGAGTGTTTGATTTCCTGAAGAAGTCGAGCAGTTGGGTGCAACACACTACATCAATGTCTGCTAATGGGTTCATGGGGAGAGAGAAGCTTTTTGGTTTATCATCGATTTGTAATGCTTTCTTCAGTTCTATGGCTTTCTGTATTAGACCAGATTGCGTTTTCAGATGTCTTGGTCTATTCTCATAGGAGCTGAAGAACTTGTCCATGGGAATGCGCAGAAGTTTCTCATACAGGATCAAGGCCTTTTCTTTGATAAGGGANGGGACTTGTGTTAAGTTCATTCTCTAAAAGGTTTGTGAATCTAGGCCAGTCAGCCTTCTTGAAGTTCCATGATAGCTTAGTTGGCACTTTCCTTGACATGCTTTTGCTGCCGATGGTAATACCAGCAATAACTGGTTTGTGACTAGAACCAGGATTGTCAATGATTTTGCGGCGTGTATGCTCACTGATGTCGCTTGAAGCCAAGAGTAAATCAGGAGTTGTTCTGGTTCCATTGTAGTGCAAATATGTAGCCGGATCCTCGTTGCTGTAAATAAGTTCCAGAGGGTTGCTGTTTAGCATGTCTTCAATTTCCTTTCCAACTATGTTTGTATCCTTGTAGCCCCATCTGTTGGAATGGGCGTTGAAGTCTCCTAGTACTATAGTTTTGTGTGAGATGTTCAGAAAGTCAAAGTTTGGACAATTCTGGGGTGGATTATAGACTGCATATATCTTGAAGTGGTTTTGACATTTCCAAACATTTAATCTGATCATTTCACATTTGTCTTGTGTCGAGCCCATACTCTTGATTAGGTCGTAGTGTGAGGTGAGGCCTTCTTTTACTCCAGTTAGAATTCCACTTGCAACTTGCCGGTATTTAGGTAGATTGTACAGGGTGTAACCTGGGAATTGGTAGTACTTCAGTTTGTCTTCCGAAATGTTTGCTTCCATAATTGTGAAAATGTCTACATCATAGATTTGTAGGATTTTCTGTATTTGGATCTTTTTGTCCGGAGACATTCCGCCAGCATTCCACTGGAGGATCTGAAGACATTGTGATTCGCCCTGACGAGGACGATTTTTCTTATAGCCTTTTTTAAAGCTAATCATAATTAATCGAAGTCAAAAACGAATGCCGAGTGATAGACTTTTTTGCCGTAAGAAAATACGTTGTCCAGGGTGCACCACGTGGAGGTAAGTCTATCGCGCACAGACATGATAAATATTAAAACACGAAGGAAAAAAAGCTCAAGAAAATTAAATTAAATTGTTGTCCTATTGATTAGTTAATTCCTTCAAGCTTACTTTCCTTCTCTGCGTTATCATATGTCTTTACAGTAGTATCTTTATTTGAAAAAAAACTTCTAAATTACGTTCTATAAAGTATTTGAAAAGTACAATCAATAGGTATTAATCCTATCCAAGAAGGGATCTCAGTCTTGAAGCTTATGGGTTGGACAAGAGAAGTTGAATAGAGCTACGAGCTTTGAACCTCAACCGATGGTCATCACCTTCATTGCGTCGAATTTTTATCAAATGTTTCGAGTTAATTCGACACAAATACTGCAAGTTCTTGACATTATGTGGGGTTTTGGATTGACTAAAGCTACCAAAAGAGAGTGCCTTTATCTCACACTTTTTAATGGCATACGTGATTCAGTTCATCTTCCTCCACAACGTCCACATTTTGTTACCTCGTTTAGATAAACCTTAAATAAAGTTTGAAGTGCAAGGGCTAAGTACTCTCAGAACTATTTATCCATAAATTCGTCTGGAAATACACAGAATGTTGAGAGAGTCCATAGGATCTTATCACTTATACTTCATTTTGCTCAGCTGATTTTAAAAGCTATGTACTTCTCAATCATTTTGACTGCCTCTATTTTCCATCGCATTATTCACCTAATTAGATAATATTAATTAAATATGTGCTACTTGCACAATACAGTAGCATGCTAATAGTTTCTTATCCTTGACTTCACATAATAATGGAAGTTAAGATAAAAGTTTTTTCTACCTTTTAAGATAAAAATCTCCTTAAAGGACAAATACTAAGCCCCTTCCAAGTTCCTCGAAAAAAATTTACAAGATAATTTGACGAAAGGGGATTTTTTGAAATGACAAATTCTTCAACAGATACAATGGTCAAAGTCTGCCACCATATTTGTGCCCTTTTGTCTTCAAGAAGGATGGTCTTACTAAACTTGCGATGAAAATAAACAAAGATATTCTTGACTTTGAAAGTCACTAATGGTATCCTATTTTCTTTATTTTGAGAAGGAATTGATAAAATATTGCTACTTGTGTCTGGATTCGTAATGAACTCTCCCGTAAATCCACGACTTTAATAATTACAAGTCACGTCATTGCAGTTAACCGAAATATTTACATTTATAACTAGAAAATTTGTTTACGAGACTATGCAAAATTGTGACCACAATAGTTTTAATTGAATCTAGATTAGTTGTTCCTTCATTATTTATTTATTAAGTTATATCAAATGGCAGGCGTTTTGATAGTTATCATTAGTCCTTTAGTTGACTTTAGGCTTCACAGAGGGGAAGGAACATCAAAGTGAAAAGAGTCGAGAGGGAGAGG